CGGTTATCCAGAAAGGTTCATCCTTCGGAACATCAAGGAGCGTGTCACAAAGACCGCAGTTGCAATGGGGGAAAAAACTATTTGTTCAGAAGGCTATCTTTTCTGGGAGACGCAGCACGTGAACTGGTAAGACTATGCCTGAGGACAGCAGTCACGAGTGCCTTCCCGACGGCAAACTTACGCGTATTCTTCACTAACTCTGTCCTTCTACGAATGGGAGGTCAAGATAGACTAGTATTACAGGTCACATCCATGTGCATCTATTCTTGCATCTGCTCCTGTGGAGTGGGATGTATTGGCCGAACAATGCGAAGTTTGTGGAAGAGAATACGCGAGCACTTACCAGCTTTGGTCAGCAAAGGAGAGAATCGATCGATTTCAAGCTCAATCCTCGCCCATATGTCGCCCTCGCTGATCGAGGTAATGTGTGTCGCCCTCTTATCCGGGCATTATTTTCTTGTCGGGATGTAAGACGATTAATGGAGGAACCACGAATTACGTACCCGTACGGTCAGGGACGGGTATCGGGACGTGGCCGCCATACAGAGCAGACTTCACGGACCATTTAGCAGTACCACCCAGGTTTTCATCAACGTGTTCGCTGAGGACCACCAGCCAAATGTACAGAAGATCGTGGGCTGACCGTGCCATCTCAGCGTGTCCCCGGAACCCCGTGACTTGCGCGTCAGTTGGAGTGAGAGTAGGCTTTCGCTGACCTCCACTGTGACGTCCCCCCGTCCATGCGTTTCTGATGCTTCCAATGTAGGTCATGGGTAAGGAAACACAATTCCAGAAGCTGAAAATTGATCTTTCTCTATCACAGACCAGTAGCTTATGTAAAACTCTAGATTACTGGGTATTTTGTGAGTTTATCCTCCGCTCTCGGTGAATGGAGCCATTTTTTGCTGGCAAATTTGAATGCTACCTTCAAAATAAAGTGTTTCTCTCTGTCTTTCCTTACCCATGTATGGTTGACAGTCTTACCTACCTACTGGATGTTAACGTATCGTAAAGGAGTAAAGGCTTAGCCGGTTAAACTCTAACTACTGCGATCTTCCAGGCCCGGTTCCTTAGAAGA